CTTTAGAGAGGGACATCATGCTGGGTAGAGTAGAGGGACAGCGCAGGAGGGGAAGACCCTCTATGAGGTGGATTGATTCAGTGACTGGGGTAATCAGGATAGGTGTGTCAGAGGCAATGAGATTGGCACAGGATAGAGCAGAGTTTCGGGCTGTTGTACATAGGGTCACTATGAGTCGCAAACGACTCGACGGCACATAACAACAACAACCCAATGCGGCAAGAGTGGGGTGGAGCTCCCCGATTAAAACAAGCTTGGAAGGAGGAGTGGCATCCACTTCCATAATAGCTTTCCTCCGGAAACCCTATGAACCTGGAGAGAGGATGAAAGGCACCCAAGTGTTGCGAACTCTCCTTCATAGGGTCGCTATGAGCCGCCTGTGACTCGACGGCACTTAACAACAACAACAACAACAATAACAGAAACTCTATTAATTCAGAAAAGTGACGATAGTTATCGAACATGGTTCTGGTCTTTCGTTTATGATCACTATGAGTTATGCTTGATTCAATGACACTTAACAACAACAAAAGCCATATTACTGATTGGCTCAGGGATGAGCACATGATTCTAGTTGGACCAACAAAACTAAATTTTGGGGGTCTTTGCTGGGGGCTGCCTTTGTCTCTTTGTCTTTGTCTCATTACCTCTAAGGGTAATGATCTTGGTAATCACTGCGGGATGTGAAGGACTTGGAGATTACAGCATTAAAGAAACACTCTTTCGTAATGGTGAACTTGGTACAAACAATGAAGAATATACTGGAGGATTTATCTTTTTTATCTGGCCCTGTCTAATTTGTTCAGCCCTTGGGGCTGCCTGCGCATCACCCTCTAGACCATGCTAGAGAGCCCTAGATGAGCTTTGCCACCCCAAGGGACAAGAGGTCCACTGTTTCCCGCTCACCATGGAGGATACGGTACCACACGCGTCCAAACTCGCCCTCGTCCGCATCTGTGGCCTTTAGCTGTGGAAGGATGAGATACAGGGTCAGTTTGAACTCCACTGCCAAGGAGAGATGGCTGTGGAGCCTCTTTTCTTCCTTCCATGCCACCCAACCCTGGGTTTCCCACAGTGCTGAGAGAGGAGAAGGACACGTATGACTTTCTCATCCCCCAGGAGGGCATCAATAGTTGATGGCGCATCGAGGGACTGCTGGTTCTGCTCCTGGGTCTTCCTTCAGATGTTGAGGGACATGGAGGGAAAGCATTTGATGGCACTGAGGGTCTCTGACTCCGGTTTCAACTAGGTCGTTCTGTACACTCACAATTCCCCTAGCCTTCTAGCCTTCTGAGACCTCAGGAGTCCCGTCTAGAATGGCTGCCTCTTGGCTCATACTTTCTTGGTCTGCAGACATTCTGGTACCCTGGCTACCAACTGGATACTGCATATTTCATCAACTTTGATATTACCTCTATCTTTATTCACCATGCAATGGCTCCAGTCTACTCTTACATCACCATCACCTCTGACTGACTTGGCTGCATCTTAGGCTTCTGTCTTGTGTGTCTAGATAGGATTTAGCATGTGTGTTGTTCTTACTGTCACTTTGAGACACAACCTAGTGCTTAGACTTTGCTTCAGAGTGGCATTGAGGCTGCTGGCAGAACCACCGCTAAACCCCGGATGAGTCCTGAAAAGGCAAGTACTAAACCAAGCAGGTAGAGAACAGCCCTGCACTGTGGTAGGGGAATAAGGCCAAGGCTGGATGGTTGGGAAAACGGGGCTGTACTATTTATGAATTGTTTTGTGGAGCTCTGACCTTTCCCATTTCTGGAATGGCCCCTCTCACTTCAGTCCAGAGATGTGCACTAGCGCTGCCGTGGTGTGATCTTACTATTCTAGAAGTGATTGGGCTAGGAGTGGGTACTGTTCACAGCTGGGCCAATCACATCCTTCTATGGGATTTTTAACCTTTTTTTTTTTTTTTTACCTTGGGCTCAGAATGAGTTCATCTTCCTTGTAGTAACGGGAGAGGGTGTCAACGGTGTATTGATCACAAATACTACTTTCCTTCTGATCTCAAATACCACCTTTCCCTTCACTAACTCTGCCCTCTCCACACTGAGCTCCTGGCTATTTCCTGAACACCAGCCTCATGCCAGTTTCTCAGCTCTTGCCTTCGTGGTTTCCTCTGCTTAGTGAGAGCTCTCTCTGCATGTCTACATACTTATTTCCTTATCAGGTCTTTTAGGTCTCCTTCTGGTATATATACCCCACTCCTCCAATGTCCTGGCCCTTAAGAACGAAAGCTAACTAAATCCATTGCTGTCAAGTTGGCTGACTCACAGCCATCTTCCACTGGGCTTCAGAGGTTGTAAACCTTAGTGAGAGGAGATTATCCATCTCTCTCTTGTGCAGCTACAGGTGGATCTGAACTGTTGGAGATGTGCAACCTTTTGGTTAACAGCAGAACAGCCTATGGACCACACATCTACACCCCCCCCACACACACACTTTCCTCTGGTACACCCTATCTTTACTTATTGGTTTATTACCATCTCACTACTGAAAGAAAAGACTTCGCTTCTGCTTTCTCTTAGTCTCCAGAACAATGATCTCGATCCAGCAGGTGCTCAGCATTTTATGTTCAATGACTAAAGGAGTAGATCTCTGGAGAGAAGTAATACAACTGACATTTGGCAAACACAGAGGAAAACATGAACAATACCGACTACTGCTCTGTCTGGGTTCTTGGTCCTCCAGATGTCCGGCCATATCCCCATCTTTCTCTGGTTTTCCCTTTGAGTTTGGGAAAAGTCACCCAGACATTTAATGGTATAGATCATAACAAATGGTGGCTAATATCGAGAAGAATGGGGATCCCACTGTACTCATACAAAATCTATACCTAGACCAAGAAGCTGTTGTCTGAACAGAACAGGAAACACCATATGGTTTAAAATCAGGAAGGATGTGTATCAGGGTTGTATCCTTTCTCCATACTATATTCAATCTATATGCTGAGGAAAAGATTCATGAAGCTGGCCTTTTATGAAGAGGAATGTGGCAGGATTGGAGGGAGACTCATCAACAACCTGCACTATGCAGATAAGACAACCTTGTTGGCTCAAAGCGAGGAGGACTTGAAACGTTTGCTACTGAAAGTCAAGGACTACACAGCTTTCATATGGATTACATCTCAACATTAACAAAGGTAAAGGTTCTTACTGCTGCTGGTCCAGTAGTCAACATCATGATAAATGGAGACAGGATTGAAACTCAATGATTTAATTCTATTTGGATCCACAACGAATACCCTTTTACCAGCAGTCAAGAGATGAGGAGACATATTGTTTTTGGTAAGTCCACTGGAGTGCAATGATGTCAGTTTGAAAACTAAGGTGTACTGCCAAAGGGGCCCTTTAGAGTAGTGAGAGAAGATCTTCACCCTGAAACCCACAGCGTCCCTTTTCAGCAGGAAGTAGCTAAGAGAATACGCCATCCCCTTTTCCTTATGAATCAGGGTGAAGTCTCTCTCAGGGAGGAGTGATAGGGAATGGCAAAGGACACACTGACAAAGAAGATTAATCAGAACTGGCTTTGACAAGCACTGTGGCATTTGGACAAGAACAAACTGGGAGGAGGGTAGAGAGAATAGTGCAACAATGAATGAGTGGAAGCCCAAAATCTCTGTAAATGTTTATGAAAATTAATAAAATATAATTATAGGAAAAAAAAAAGAAAAGAAAACTAAGGTGTGCCTCATCCAGACTATGGTCTTTTCAATAACTTGCTATGTGTCTGAAAGTTAGACAATGAATAGGGACAACAGAAAAATTGATGCCTTTGAGTTGTGGTGTTGGAGAAAGAGACAGAATATGCCATGGGCTGCCAAAAGAACGAACAGATGTGTCTCAGAAAAGGGGCAGTCAGAGTGCTCCTTGAGGGCAAGGTTGGCAAAACTTCATCTCTCATACTCTGGATACGTGGGAGGAGAGGCTATTCCTTGGAAATGGCTATAATGCTTAAAAAGGTGGAGGGTCAGAGAAAGGCAGGAACACCTCCAGTAAGATAGATTAACAGAGTAACTAGCAATGGGCTCAATGTGTCGGAGATGATGAGGATGGCATATGATAGGACAAAACTCAAGTCTGCTGTTCACAGGATTGCTCTGAGTCCTAAGCGACTCGATGGCACCTAACAATATCCTAGTGTTTTAGGCCATGCCCTTCCCCTCCTTTTATTACTCAAGTTAATAGGAATTGAGTTTTTGTTGCTTGCCAGCAACAGCAGCAGTACAGGCTTCCCTGTCTACGTCTGTAGACAAACTCTGTCAAGCATCTACCATGTATGTGCGTAGCTCTGTGCCAGCCACTATCAGGGACTGAGAGAAGAGCCATGTGGTTTCCTGGCTTGCACAGATCAGAAGGCAGGGGCTGGTCAGGACTGTATTGGACAAAGGATTTTAAAGAAGGGAGCTGGGACTAAAAGAGTGGATAGAACCTGGCAGGAAAAGCTGGAGAAAGTACACAGGATAGGGAATGATAGCATGAGAAAAAGTAGATGCTCCTGCAGTAAAGCTGAGTTTTGGACTGAAACCCTCATCTGTCTGGAGTGAAGTGTTCATACTGCAATGGAGCAGAGAGATGTGGTTGGATGGGTGAAGCAAGGGCTTTAAGGAATAAAAAAGGATCAGGGAATAAAAGTCCAGAGCAGCCGGGGAACTGGAATGTTAACTGTCTCTATGAACTACTGTCTCCTTTGTCAGGAGGCCAGCTCAGTTGGTTGGTGCTTAGTATCATTACTAAACGATTTGACAAAAGCTTCTATAGAAACCCTGATCAAGAGGAGGGGTGTGTGTAGAACAGAATTTCAAATTCTCATGGAAACCAGACACTCTGAAGCTACTGTGGCTAGAAGAGCTATCAAAGTTGAGATTCTCTTTAAACACTAAATTTTTAAAAAATCCCCTGCAGTCTTCTTTAATCTTCAGCAGAATCTTGCTTGCATGTGATATTAATGATATTGTTTGATAATTTCCACACTCTGTGGGATCACCTTTCTTTGGAATGGGAAAAAAATAGATCTCTTTCAGTCAGTTGGCCAAGTGGTTGTTCTCCAGATTTCTTGGCACAACTTGGTGAGCACATCAAGGGCAGCATCTGTTTATTGAAATATGTCAATTGGTATACCATCAATATCTGGGGCCTATTCTTAGCCAATTCTTTCAAAGCAGTTTGAACTTCCTTCATCACCACAGGCTCTTACTTATATGTTGTTTCATTAAATTATTCTGTGTCTGCCAATTCCTTTTGGTATAATGACTGTATACTCTTTCCATCTTCTTTTAATACTTACAGGATCATTTCATATTCTGCCCAAAGCATCCATAAGTATTGCAACTCGAGGCTTGAATTTCTTCTTGAGCTTAAGAAATCCTGAGTGAGTTCAGCCCCTTTTTCTGACTCCAGCTCTTTGCACATTTCATTATAATACTTTATTTTGTCTTGTCACTCAGCCTTTTGAATTCTCTTGATTTCTTCCCTCTGCGTTGGCTTTTTGGCTCTCTAGTGCAATATTCAGAGTCTCTTCTGACATCCATTTTAGTCTTTTCTTCCTCCTCTGTCTTTGCAATGATGTTCTGAACTCTTCCTGGGTGATATTCTTGATATATTCCCATAACTCATCTGGTTTTCACTTATTAGTGTTCAAGGCCTCAAACCTGTTCTGAGATGGGGTTGTGGTACTAGGGATATTGTAGCTAATGTTAGATGGATCTTGGCTGAAACAAGGAGTACCAGAAGAATGTCTATGATTATGCGAAGGCATGTGACTGTGTGGATCATAACAAACTGTGGCCAACTCTGAGAAGAATGGGAATCCAAGAACACTGGATTGTGCTAATGCGAAACCTATACTTGGACCAGGAGGCTGTCAGAACAGAGCAAAGAAACACTGAATGGTTCAAAATTGGGAAGGGTGTACGCCAGGGATGTATCCTGTCTCCGTACCTTTTCAATCTTT